CCGGAAAAGTATTCCCGGTGTTTCGCGTTTTCAGACAGATGGACTGGAGATGGAATTTTTACATGTTCGCTATGCTAGAGACGTGTGGCTGACGAACGGGTTGCGTATTCGAATTCGTCTCGTCGTTCTGAGCAACTTTCATGTATAAAGTATTTTCACCCGAGCTACGGATTATTTTCTATGATTGATCAAAGTTTTAGGCATTTTTGAAATTCCTTTAATTATTTAAATCGAACATTATCCAGAATAGTGAAAGGTGATGTCAGCATGACATCACCATGACGTCAGCAGGTCAAATCCAGCTGACCAGAGTCAAACCTGGCATGTGGGTCCAATGGGACCCACCTGTCATAGACTAAGGCTAACTAAACAGGTTTAATTAGTTTAGTTAATTGATTTGGTTAATCTAAACATGAATAATTAAGTTAATTAATTATTTTTTTAATTATATTTGTTTATTCTTTTTTCTCTCTTTTTTAACGTTCAGGGGGTAGGGCCCCTTTGTCATAGGCCCCTGGGGCCTAGCGGATCGGGCACTAGCGGACGCATATGGGCGACGGGCGCCAAACGCCAACCTGCAGGGGCGCCTGAACGGGCAACCATGGTGCGGGCGGGCCGGTGGTTCGCTAGAGCGCGGCCACGGCGAGCCGGCCGCGGAGGGCGGCGCGGGGGAGCCGCGCGGCAGCAATAGGGCCAGCGGCGGATAGAGCCGGCGAGGGTGAGCGGCGGCGCAGGAGAGGAGCGGCGGCGCCGGGGTGGAAGTGGGGCGCGAGCGGGCGAGAGAGCACGCCGGCCCGGGCGCGGTGCGGTGGGGGCAAGATGCGGTGCGCAGCAGGCGGCCGCGGGCACTGGCGCCCCGAGGCGCAGGCGGCGATGCAGGAGGTGCGCAGCAGCGACGCAACTAGCGGCAATGCAGAAGCAGGTCAAGTAGGGCAGCAGCGCAGGGTGGCACGCGTGCGCGTGGTCGATGCGGGCGTGCGCGCATGGGGGCGCTGGGCGTGGTCGTGGCGTCCCGAGGTGGGGGAAACGGGCGCAGGTGCGCACGGGTGCGCGCGGCAGTGGCAGGCCTCGGTTGCGGGAGGAGAGCGCGGCCACGGTGAAGCAGGCGCACGGCACGGCAGCATGACGCTGGTGCGGGCGCGGGTGCCGTGTGCATGCGAAACGGCGCGTGCGCGGGACGAGGGAGAGAGGAGGCCGCGATCCTCACCGTGCAGTGTAGGGCACGTGGCAGTGGGGCGTGGGGAGG